CATTCAAAGAAATGCTCCAGCAGTAGCTGCTTATCTAATAACTGGCAGCAACACAGTCATGGGACTCCAACCTTGTTTTAATTGTCGCCACAGAAAGTGGCCCTGAACTATTTCAGCTGGATTTCTATGCATGTCTGTGATTCAGTGCAGTGCTTTGAGTATCTTCTCTATGTTCATCATACACTGTACAATGTTAAGGAGATTTCTCTCAAAGGAATATTTTGCTGTGTTGGTTTTCACCATTCAGTACACACAGAATAAAATATTACTAAAGGATACAAACTATTTTTAAAGCCTGCCTCGGTTTAGCTTTGTAGGCAGGAGAGGAATCTCGCCTCTGGATGCAAAACACATTCTGGAAAATTGCTATTTGTTTTGTGAACAAAAGTTTTTTTATTATTATTATTTTCTGTCCAGTGTTATTATCCTCTCCAATCTCCCACCAAAAACATTTGGCCAATCCCTTCAACAAAAGACAGATGACATGTGACAGATGGTCAGTTATTGTTTTTTTATATCAGCACTGTTTGTTATGGTCCATACTGAAAGTATGGCAGTTTAAATAACAGACACTGTAACAGAAAGGGCGATTGTTCATGCAAATCTGAACACAACTGTGTTCAATTGTTCATTATAGTCCCCTTATCAGGCACCACATACTGTAATACAGCATGTGGTAGAGGAAAAATGCAAATGTAGTGTACTTCTGTAAGGCACCACCTGTGTCCCCAGCATAACACCTACTCCACACATCCCACGCCCAAGTTCAGTCTTAATCCTTCTCAGCACTCCTCTCGTGTGGACTCACCGCATTTCACACCTCCTCCACTTTTCCCTTCAGCACCTGTCACAAAGCAGGGCTCACATTACCTCTACTTCTTCATAACACAAAAAAGAAAATCTGCGTTTTCGATTACATTCACAGGATTAATACCTCATCTTCTGGTACTGTCCTAATTTATATAAAAAAAAAGATATTTAAAATGAATTAATAAAATAGCATGTTGATTTTTAATATTTTAATTTATCAAGTGCAAGATTTCATAATAATCCTAAAATACTACAAAAGTTGCAGTATCTGTATTGGACATGAAAGAACTGTAATGCACCATCCTGCCATATATATATATTTGAAAATGTAAATAAATAAATAAAATAAATAAATAAATAACAATGCTGTGAAAAACGTCTTTAAGGACTAACAGCCTATGACGAAAAGAAAAGTAGCATTTGTTTTCCAATATTGAAATGCTACATATAACAAATAATACCAGGAAAAGTTTGGGTTTTACATCACTATTAAATCTCACATACCAGGTTTGTTTTGCATAACATATGGCATTCATCATTGTGTTGAGATGTGTGTTTTCTACGTGTAATGTTTCTTTTCATGTGGGTCAGATTCATTTCATTTTGTTGCGTCTTTTCAGCTACATCTTGACCTCCGACCTCAGTCTTATATATAAATTTAATTTAGGATTAGCTTTGACAATGTCCGTTTTCTCTCCCTTGTTTTTTTTCTCTGGTGCAGGAAGGCAGTGATTACTCAACCCAGTGAAGTGCGCAGAGAGATAGTCAATACAGGATAAATAAATGGGAGAGTGTGTGGCTTCTTTCTCCATTGCCCAGTTCTTTAATTAACTCATCAGTCACAGGGCCAACAAGCAATCCAATTCATTGCCCCTAAAGTGACTTGTATTGATATATGCCTATCTCTAGAGCTTATTCTTCCTTCCTTTGTCATAAATATGGCGTCCCTACATCTTTTACTATTCCTCAGATGTTAGCAAAACATCTACACACACAAAAAGAAATTAGCCAAGTTCAAAGAATCTGCTCCTGACGTGCAAACATTTAATAGCTTCTCCAATGGAAATAAACAAATGTGTTGACTGACGTTGTTGCTCGTTGCCAAATTGAGTCAGTAATACTGTAGATTTGACTTTGCTTCTTGTGGGGCTGTAGTGGTGTAGAAGACCACATTTGTTTTCACACTAAAAGACAGTTGAGTTTGTGCTCGTTCTTTTTGCCTGCAAACTGTCACATTACATTTTCTTGTTGTACATGCAACTGAGACCAGGCAGAGTGGAACCCTGTGGGAGTATAAACCAGTGACCTTGCCTTTCCTGCTTTGGCCCATTTCCCTAACCATTACACCATGTTGTTTGCTCTCTGCATCACAACAAGTCTGTACTTTTGAACCCAGTGGAGTGGGGGTGCCGTAGTGCCCATCAATCATAGATGGCACCTAAGGGTCAATGAGGCAAAGTGTCGGACAAGCAGATAGATGGCGTAGAAATTTGGACGTAACAGCCTTTCATGGTCACCATACAATTTTTATTCTGACATTTGGGTACTGGATATTTTGAACATAAGCTCAAAACCTACATTTATTTGAGCTACAGTCAAAGGGCTGTTGTACTAGTACAAACAGGAGAGTAATAAGGAGTATTGATTTTGAGGCCAGTACATCCATCCATTTTAAAGCGATTGAACTGTAATACAATAATGCATTACCCTCTCTACCAATTGTAATACAGTATAGTACTGTATAGTATAGGTTCACTATTATGTTACTATTATCTTGTCTCTTTTTATCTCCTCTTGACTGGACTCTTCCAGCGCCTATGTCCTTCATCTTTGCATGACTCTTCTCAGGAGTGAATAGTCCTGATTTTAAACCAAGATTCCCACAGTCCAGTTGGGACATTTAATCCCGCCAGTGTGTCCCAGGTAGGCTTTAGGTTCTCCTCCCAGAGGACATCTTAACCAGATGTCAACGCCACCTTACCTGGTTCCTCTGAACATGGAGTCTCTTCTCTTTACCACAAATTACCTATTCACAGTCTGCATCATTGTGGACGCTGTGCCAATCTGTCATTTCATCTCCTTTTCCATTTTCTTTTCCCTCAAGATGATTCTTAGACTCCTTCACTGAGGACAGACTTCCATGTATTTTACCAGCTTAGTATCATGATGGTTTTTGAATAAGAGATGCTCCTCCTCAGTCTCCTCAACATCAATATTACAAAATACACTGATAGGACCTCATTATCAGCAAAGGCATTGATCTTTTAGTAAGGTAACACAAGCATGATGCTCGCCATCAATTGGCTAGAAATTCAGTTTTAAATAAAACCATTAATAAGAACCAGTTCACATTGCCAACAGCAG